GCCCGTARGGCTAAGCGGGCATAGCCTCGCATATTTGTTCTCAGTATTTTATTTTTATTTCAAATTTGGTAAGGAATTCGGATGTAATGCTCAGGCAAATCTTGTTTAATTTATTTTTCTCCATAACATATTTGTTTTTTCAGATTTTTTTGATGACTTTGTTTTTTTTTTTGGTCCGCGTTCGGCCCGAACGACCGAACGCATCCCCCAGGGGTCCCATACGTTCGGGCGTTCAGGTTCGGGCGTTCGGCCCGTCCTGAACGCCCAAAACCCTGTATATATATATATATATTTGTGGATATATATATATATATTTGTGGATATATATATATCGTCACATTTATGGATATATATCGTCAATATATATATATATATATATATTTGTGGATATATATATATATATATTTGTGGATATATATATATATATATATCTTCACAAACAGAACTGTCCGGTAAACCGTAGGCAGAGAGAGAGAAGAGGTATATATATAAAAGATTTGCCAGAGCATTACATCCGAATTCCTTACCTAATTTAAAATAAAAATAAAATATGGAAAACAAATACTAATAATAAAAATAAATAAAAATAAAAAGAGAATTAAATTTAGTGAGTGCGCGAGCATGTTTTCGACACCGCCATCTTTGGCGATTTTTCATTTTGTTTTGGCATAGCTAAATGCCTTGAAAATTTACAGATGTGGACTTCACATAATACAAACCCACTAGAAGAGTTAAAAAAAATAATACAATTGTTTAGACCCCGAACTAAAGCGAAAACAAAAAGTAAAAAGTGAAAAAATACGTGGGCGAGCACGTTTTGACACCGCCATCTTTGGAGATTTTTTATTCTTATTTGGCTTAGCCAAATGACCGGATAATTTACAAGCATCTACCTAATGTCATAGAAAACTCACAAAAAAAAATTCAAAAAAAAAAAAATATGTTTAGGCCCCGAAATAATTTTTGGCGGGGACCAAACGGACCCCGAACGCCCGTACGTATGGAGGTCTGCCCGGGGATCTCTGTACGTACGGGCTGGTGACCCTGTATATATATATATATATATATATACAGGGTTTTCGACGTTCGGGACTGGCCGAACGCCCGAACCCGAACATCCGAACGTACGGGACCCCTTCAGAAGGCGTTCGGCCGTTCGGGCCGAATGTGGACAAAAAATAAATAAATAAATACGAAAAACAAATATATTATGGAGTGAGTGTGCCAGCACCTTTTCGACACTACAACCAAATTCTTTACCAAATTTGAATTAAAAAATAAATACAGAAAATAAACATTATGATAAAAATAAGAAAAAATAAAAAGAGAATTAAAATGAGTGAGTGTGCCAGCACCTTTTCGACACCGCCATCTTTGCCGATATTTAATTATTTTTTGGCATTGACAAATGCCCTAAAAAATTACAGATATGTATTTTACATAATCAATAACTCATTAAAAAATCAATGTAATAAAAAACTCATTAAAAATTTAGCATAATCAATAACTCATTAAGAAGTTTTCAAAAAATAATAAAATTGTTTAGGCCCCGAAATAAAGTGAAAAAAAAAGTTAAAAGTGAAAAAAAACAAAATAATGAGTGGGCGAGCACGTTTTGACACCCCCACCTTTGAAGATTTTTAATTTTTTTTTGGCTTAGCAGAATGGCTTCAAAATTTATAGGCGTGTAGGTTACATCATAAAGAACTCACAAAACAAAATGCAGAAAGAAAAACTTATTTTTAGGCCCCAAAAAAAGTGTTGGCGGGGGCCGAACCTGGAGGTGTTCGGCCCCCGAACGGGACCCCGAACGCCCGAACATTCAGGGGCCAGCCCGGGGGCCCCCAAACGTTCGCTGAGGTAACCCTGTATATATATATATATATATATATATATATATATATATATATATATATATATATATATATATATATCG